ACACAATCAGGTGAATCAGGGTCACAGTACACTGACACAATCAGATGAATCAGGGTCACAGTACACTGACACAATCAGGTGAATCAGGGACACAGTACACTGTCACAATCTGGTGAATCAGGGTCACAGTACACTGTCACAATCAGGTGAATCAGGGTCACAGTACACTGTCACAATCAGATGAATCAGGGTCACACTACACTGTCACAATCAGGTGACTAAAGGTCACAGTACACTGACACAATTTAGGTGAATCAGGGTCACAGTACACTGACACGATCAGGTGAATCAGGGCCACAGTACACTGACACGATCAGGTGAATCAGGGTCACACTACACTGACACAATCAGGTGATCTAGGGTCACAGTACACTGACACATCAGGTGAATAAGAGCCACAGTACACTGACAAAATCAGGATTAATCAGGGATAAATGTAATTTCTTACTTATTCTTTGCGTGGTACAATTTTATTTAAACTGAAAAATAGTATATTCTTTCAATATCGATAAATGTGTTAGAACTGTTTGGTAACTCGTGAACAAAGCATAAAAAAATAGATTGTCGTGATCCATATAAAAGTACCACAAGGACTGCAGAAATTCAATGAGCTACATTTAAGCATAGCGGAGTTATGCCCCTTTTCTGTGTCCCGAATATTTCGATTTCACAAGGAAAAAGCAAATATCGCCATCGACTGTATACCTTTTTATCATATAATGGGTAGGTTTCTCGGCAGGATAAAGCCAACGGATAAAAACGATATCCGTTGGGGTCATATGCGGATAGAGATGCAAATATCAAAGGTCAAGTAGGGACTACTTTCAGTGTTTATAAACAAACATGGCGTCGCCCTCATCATTCGGGGATCGAGTCAGAATTAACCATCGGGAATCTGGATAAACTACAGGGATAATTGCTATCATTATCAAAAGAACAGTCTAATATACTGAAATTCAGCCTCTAACTGTGACGTAGCTAAGGCATTTTATAAGTTTGGGCAACTTTAGAGATATAAATTTCGAAACAATTTTTCGAGGGCACGAGGCCTAGCCAAGCGGGATCAGTAGCCATATCTGTGCTTGTAGACCTCTGCGGCTTGAAACCTTCTCCACAAATTAAAACAGTTGGATTTGTCCGAAATATGTTTGAATTGTTACCTTGTTTCGTTTTGTCGCTGTGTGTACATCTGACTACACTTCTTAACGTTATGACAGGACAGACCGACTGTCAACAACGACTGACAGTGGCCCACACTCCGTCGCAGTGGTGACTCAGCATAACACCACTGCCACAGGCTAATTTGCATATCACGTGACCGGACTTTTCTCTTGTTTGTAAACAAACGCGCTTTTTCAGAAATCACTATAGAACGGACTAATGCAAGTATTTGGGGGCACTTTACTTATTGTTTTGCATAACTATATAGATATGCTACTACAACTGCGACAGTGAGTTGCATGACTATATATTTATGCATCAAAGTGACCGTGTCGCTAGCTCTCCGTTGGGCTTCGATGACAGCACGTGGAGCCGAACAACCTATGTAAACATAGGATAACTACGCAAAAACAAGTAGAAATTTACGTATTTGCATACTTTCTCAATGAAAGTTAACCATTCTTTGACATTTGTTTATGAAAATGTGTAGACTTGTCAAACATGAAAAGGATGAAAAGCATATGCAATATCTTGAATGGACTGTGAAAGATGTGACGAATCGTCACATGGCGCTGGCCTGTGGCAGAGGTACTATTCTAGCTGGCTGCCGGCCGCATGGAACTCTGGGTAGGAAAGTGACCGTGGCCACTGTATAAGAAACAGATTTCAGTTGGAACTATATTGGTTTCTGTCACTGTCCGACTGACACATCACTTACCCTGTGACGTAATAAATATTAATGCGCGCATTCCATGAAAACTCGCAATGTTTCGGTAATGTTTGTGAGAGAGGGAAAGCGATTTTGAAGCACAGAATTAAAGAATGACATTATATGATAAAGAGGTTATCACGCTTGTGTGTTTGGGGATGGTAAATATCCTGTATTAGGAATAAACACTATGTATTTAGCTCGCCAAGGCTCGCTAAATACAATGTTTATTCCTAATGCAGGATATTTACCATCCCCAAACACACTCGCGTGATAACCTCTATATACATAACAATACAAATGTATTACAAATACTGATATGGCGTTCATATAGAAGACCATATTTCGTCCGCTCACGATCTAAGTAAAGCTGTCAAATACAGGTTTCCGGAAAAGTGCCTTTGTCGGAATATGGAAGCGTATGAGTCTACAAAGTATATCATCATCGTACATGATACTTTCATCTTCGAAGATAATACTTTAATCGCAGAAGGTACTTTCGTCAACGTATACGATACTATAATCTACTATCAAATTATCGTATTTTGTAACAATATTTTGTTGAGTAATCGACACTATTTCCTTGTCAGTTATATATAACCGATTTGTTTGACTTTCAATCTGGTTAAGTCTTTCTGGAGGAATATCTAACTATTAAATACAGTAAATCTTCATTTAAATGTGTCGAAGTTACTAAAGTTACTGAAGTAGAAAATTTCATCCAAACTACAAACAAACAAACAACTATAGGTCATTATGCAAAATCTTAGTGAAATTATATTTGGTTGGTTAGTTGGTTTGTTGTTTAACGCCGCACTCAGCAATATTCCAGCTATATGACGGCGGTCTGTTAATAATCGAGTCTGGACCAGACAATCCACTGATTAGTATCATGAGCATCGATCCACGCAATTGGGATCGATGACATGCATCAACCAAGTCAACGAGCCTGACCACCCGATCCCGTTAGTCGCCTCTTATGACAAACATAGTCGCTTTTTACGGCAAGCGTGGGTTGCTGAAGACCTATTCTACCCCGCATCAACTATAGGTCATTATGCAAAATCTTAATGAAATTATATATCAACCATAACATGAGTTAGAACGGAGAAGTCACTCGAATATGACGATTCGCATGATTTCTCAATTACGGAAATTAGGTTTAACAGGTAAAACGTGAATATGAAGTGGGAGAATCACTCAAACTGTAAAAACTGTATCAAACCAATACTCGCCATCATCATCCTATGAAGCACTGAAGGCTCAATTCTGAAGTTTTAAGCGCTGATAGTTTGTCAGTTGAAATGATCTCATTATGTGGTAAAATTATTGAAAAGGCCAAATAAACAACCAATATGCTCCCAAACATTTAATTGAATTAACAATAATTAAGTAATTACTTTATTCAAAATATAAATGTTTGCATAATCTGGTATCCAAGCAACTTCACAGGACAGTATCACGTAACGATACGCACAATTATAATATCACAAACGTGAAATGAGTGAGTTAGGTTTAACGCCGCTTTTAACAGTATTCCAGTTATATCACGGCGTGTCAGCTTAATGTGGGAGGGAAGCCCGAAGTGATGGAGGTCTAAGGCGTTTACCACTTCGGTGAAACCCATGAACACGGGTATGGTGCTGCCAAACCTAGCAACATAATCGGGGCGAACCAGGATTCGAACCCACAATCATAGGTTTCTGACGTGGCCTGCGCAGCGAATCGCGGCGCCTTAGACGATTGGGCCACCCGTGCCCCCCACAATCGCAGATGAAAGTATCATCTAGGTTGACAAAAGTATGATAGTTTGTGTAGACTGTGACACAAATACGCCCCAACAGGTGAGCGATTGAAGTGGCAAACTTTGTTGTGTGCTGGACACATTTTATAGCTGGAATTAATATTATACCACATGACAATAAATTGTACATTCTGCGTCTCTGATAGTCAGAGGTAGATCCAGTGCCGCACGAACACAGTTCTCGCACAACTTTCAAGTTTCAAAACTTATAAAAATTTGCTTCGGAAAAATATCAAAACAAAACAGGGGCTAAATCCAAATCTAATAATAATAATAATAATAATAATCATAATAATAATAATGTGTACTTATATAATGCGCTAAACTCCTTACACAAGGTGTATGCTCAAGCGCCAACATTAATACCCCGATCAATGAAAAAGTGTAGACTCGATTTTTTCATTCTCACCTCCCTGGGGAGTGTACAACCCAACCTGCCCGTGAGGCGCTTGAAGGTAAACAGCCACATTACCATCTCATCATCTCGGGTACTGCTGGGTGAACAGAGGCACATTTCGAATAAAGTCACATGCCCAAGGAGACACCACGTGTCTTAAATTACATGTGCTTCAGTGTGGGGTAGGACCGAAGCCCTAGAAACTCTCAGAAGCCAAGCTGCTGAACACGGTCACCCGCCCAACAATCTTCTCTGCGAACGACGTTGCTTCACTTCACCTGCACAGCACCGCGTGCTACCTTATGTCGACACAATATTTGACATAATCAGAGCAGATAATTAAACAAACACTACTGTGGGTATTCTAAGTGTTTTTCCCTCACAGCAAACACATGATAACAGAGAAACAATATATTTAGTGAACTTTGTAACATTCCTGTACACACGTCACATGTACACCGGTACATTCTATGTCCGCTTCAATCATTTTCATTCCATTTCTTCACCGACATCAAATGTGGCAATGTGGCGGCACAACTGCAATACTTTCAGCACAACACTATTCATGTGGGGATTTGAAACAATTATATAACAGAGAAGAAACGGACCATGTCAACAAATTCATGATTTGAAACAACTTTTCATGAATTTGTGCACTCAGTTGTTTGTTGTGCCATTTCCCAGAAATGTAGGAAATGTGTGATAAACTGATCGATTACCGCAGATTAATAATCATAACAATACTCATGTGAGGATGCAAAATGTTTCTAATACACAACAGAAACCAGTCAAGTAGAAAACAACACATTTAGCTAACCTTGTCACATTCTTGTACACAACAAACAACACAGAGACAGGTAACTTCTATGTCCGCCTCAATCAATAAAATCACATTACTTTTGACAGTTTAAATAGACATGTCACACTTACAAGTTTACACAATGTCATGTTTATTTTATTTCCTATGTGAGGGCGTTATAAATAAGTGACTTCTTGGAGTCAGTCATGGTGATGTCCACCCCGCTGACCACCTTCATGTTGACTGTGCAGTCACCTGGCAGCCCAACACTAAACATGGGGAGAAGAGACTCCCTCCACTCAACATCCAACTTTGCCAAAACAATCTCCCTGTCAAGGTCCATGAAGGCGAGTCTCCCCCTCCCCACATCCAGCACAACGCCATAGTGGAGGGTGGCCTGTGTGCCGGGTGTGGCAGACATTGTGTTTCTGTAACACTTCCCCCGCTCCCCCGGCTGACACACCCAGGTACAGAGACTCCCCCGGTGTATGCCACAGCTCCCTACATAGACACACCAGGAGCGGCGCTGTTCACCAACATACAACCCACTGTCCACCTGGCTCTCCTCCCCCACACCCATCTCCAGGACAGGCCACAACAAACATCCATCCACCACACCCACCCTGGAGTGGGTCTCCCAGTATCGTGGTGTGTGTGGGGCAGGGGTGACATTAGAGGGGGGTGGAGGAAGGGGGATGGGGGTGGAACTACAGGTGCCGCAGTATATCTGAAACCTGCCGCTGTATCTGTGTCGTGTGGCGGGCCGCGAGTTGACCAGCTCACCGTCTGTAGTTACGTGGCAGCAGTCTGTGTTGGCTCGATCAGCGTCCAGTTGTAGTTTAGGACCTGGAAATATACATTTTGTTTACAGTTTACCAAATTTCCTGACTTCAGATAACAAATTAGTCATTTTATTGTGAACCTCGTTTCAATGTTTACAAAACGCCGCACTGAACGATCGGCTGTCATTTTCGTCTGTCTGTGAATTTCAACATAACAATGCCCTAAATAGTGACAATAACGCTGTGAAATTATTTGACTGGGTATTCAAAATGTTTTTCATACATTTTTATGTGCATTTGTAAACAAATGAATGCTGTTTTAAATACTTTTTCACAAAGTTGTAGTTGAGCTGTTTTGTGTCAGAAATCAGAAATAGGCGACAACAGCCTAAATATACAAGTGTTTCCACATTATTTCACGATAAAACTATCATCATGGCAATTCTAAACTCTTCTTGTACAATTTTGTAAACAATAAGATGGAAAAAGCTGTTGTTTGACGATTTTTTTACACGTGAGTGTTCAACAAACACAGTGTGAACAGGTAACTTCTACGTCCGCTTCAGTCACTGGCCACAGTTTCAGCACACTCGCTGGGCGGGAGGATGTCGCGTCATGTGTTGTGACTGGGACACGATGTAGATTATTGTCACATGACGATTATTAATAATGTTGTCGGGGATATCATTTAATACATTCTCAGTATTTAATGCACCAAATTCTATAACAGTTCCCACAGACATCAAACAGAAAATAACTAAACAATATATAAATAACAACGATCAACATTGAGCAAAACCTATATTATCCTGCGGATAGACAAGTCAACAATGCTAAATGATCACTGACTAATTTGCCGTTGTGTAGTTATTGTTGTAGCTGTAAAATGCACAATACATGTAATTGTATAAAATAATTCAATTATTACAGGCCATTTAATTTTGGTTTGAAAGTATTAATAAAATAACTTTCTTTTATCTTTCTCCATGCATCATTGTCACATTTGTAAAATGGGAATATCACAAAATTGTGTGTTGTATTCCCGACACACGGATCAATGTGTTGACTGAGTGGGATACACCGGCAAGAGGGGTCCCTTATTTGTTGTCGGGGGACCCTCACTCTCGCTCTTAGGTTGTCCCCTGTCTGATTCAAGGTTGTAACTAAAGGGAGAACACTCTCGTTAGGTTTATCTTTAGGTTTTAAAAGATCACAATGGTTTTGTGATTTAGCCTTGTTTATTGCGTCTCCTACTATTTTACTATTTTGCTAGGGTAGTTTCTTTCTAAAAGTGACTCGCTCAGTTCATCGAGTCTACATTGTGCACGATCTGAAGTAGATACTATCGCACAGATTCTACGCCCTGTTTTTAATATGACGGGGTGACAGGAATTGTAATTGAGGTATTGTTTGGAATCGTTTGGTGTGTAATATGCATCTGTTTCAATTTTATTGTTTGAAATTGTAACCATTACATCTAGAAACGATATATTGTTATCGCTCATCTCTAAAGTAAAGATTAAACCTGGATGGAGTGTCTGTAAACTATCTATCAAATTCCTAATTCCGATTCCATAGAACAAAACAATCATCTAAAAATCTTTTCCATTTATCTTGAAATCCCTGTCCAAATTCAATGCCGAATTTTTTATCAACTTTTGAGTAGTTTTTCCTCTAAATAACCAAGTAAAGTTGTATAAGTAGGGGCCATTTTTGTCCCCATTGATGTGCCTTTAATTTGTTTGTAATGCGAACTATCAAAATTAAAAGTGTTATTGTTTAGAATAAATTTAATACTATCGATAACGAAAATGTCTTCTCGGATTTCCGAACGGTGTTTATTTATCCAGTATTCAATAGCTTCTGTGACGAGATCATGGGAATGTTGAACAGAAACTAACTACATCAAAACTGACCAACTTTGTACCATTTTCGACTGAGGCGGGAAGTTGGTTCAGAAAATCAGTGGTATCTGATATGTAGCTCTTGACATGTTTAACTGTTGATTTCAACTGATTCTGTGTATGGGACATTTGGGTCCTGCAATTATTGGCTGTAATTTAAAATCATTTACGGGGGGTATTTTGACATAAGCAGAATTCAATGTTCGACATTTTTCTTGGATCTGTGCGCTCTTATGAGCTTTAGGGCAGCCATAAAAGTTACTTTCTTTCGATTCAAAATTAATTAAATAATCCTCTTCGTTTTTAGTAAGGCATTGAGAATGTGAATATACTAATCTTTTAAGATTAAGTAATACAGATTTTTCCGAAATTGTCTGAAAGCCTTCTGTAACAAGATTCGTCTTTTAACATTTCCAATGAGAGTTCTTGGTAATAATTGCTGTCCAAAATTATTACAGCGCCTCCCTTACCAGCTTCTTTAATAACAATTGAATCGTTTGATAATCTGTTAAGAACCGCTCGTTCATGTTTTGTTTTGTTTTGTTTGATTTACCTCTTTGAGGGTTTACAGTAAAGGTTAAATCTTTGAGGCGGTTAACAACATTGTCTTACACTTTGTTACTATCAGGTATTGGAGTGAAGGCGCTTTTGTTTCTAGCTAATGAAGTATCTTCGTTATTGGCATCAATATACAAAATGATTTAGTAATCTCAATTTTCTACAAAAATCAGACACATCTGTTTCTAGTTCATGTAAATCCTGTTTCAATGGAGTAGAGGTGAAATTTATACCTTTAAGTTATACAGAAATGTCCTCCTTGGTCAGATCTACACAAGATAAGTTGATCACTTTTGATTTGCAATACAACCTCCAAATATTTATACATTTACCCGAGCGATAATTCTCGTTAGAAGTCAGATTCAGAAATGTTCTTTCTCATATTGACCACTGACGCCACTGTTTTCAAGACAGAATTCGAAAACTTCGTCATTAAGAGTGAGTGAGTGAGTAGGGTTTTACGCCGCCTTTAGCAATATTCCAACAATTTCACGGTTGGTGACATCCGAAATGGGCCTTACACATTGTACCCATCTGAGGAATCGAACCCAATCCTTAGGCGTGACGAGCGAACGCATTACCCACTAGACTACAAGTGCCCCAAGTTATTAAGAAAGAGGCATTAAACATGATGATATTCTCATTGCGCCAGACGAGTATCGCTTGCCATAGCAACATGCACGGCCTTCATCATCAGTATCACACACATATGCACACTTACGATAAGCATGTACATCACAATACATGAGTTTGTTAATTCTTATAAACCTTTATAATCATTGCCATGCACGTGTTGTGGCGCAGTTTAAAGTGACAATGCAATAATATTGTTTAACGCCGCACTCGGATATAGTCAAATATGGCGGAATAATCATAAACAGAAATTTAGCATGTAAAGAAAGAATCATGACGTGTTGCTTAAAAGAAAGAAAATGTGTTAATTAACTACGATCACTCGGCCTTAACGATTCAGACCTCCACCCAGTTGCATGTGTCAATATATGGAATAGAATGATTTTATCTACAAGTTTTTATGGATGTGAATTGTTACCAGCCAAAGAAACAAAGAAATTCATTAATTCATTCATCAACCATGTCGGGCACGTCGCCTCTTACGACTAGCATAGTTTTCTATCAGATTCTAAAATGAAATAAATGTCTCTAAAAAAGTATCAAGTGCAACATTACAACAATTTGTCTAAAAGTTTCATTCAGAAACAGCATTGAAGAGGAACGTTAACCCGAACGCAAAAAGAATGTTTTACCGTAATGATTGTTACCAATGAAATTAACCGCCTTAGCAACGTCCTTAGTAACAGGGGTCGACAAGGGGGAAATACTATGTCAGGTGAACTGATAAACTGAAATCTACAATGCCATAGTTCTTACGTGAATTTCTGAATCGACTTTGTTTCAGTTTGTTGTGGAATGATTAGGATTTACGTTTCACAACATATGCATAAGCTTAGAGTAGGAATCGTCTGTAAATATTATCCATGTCACTACGACTCAACATATAAGTGACGGGAGGTATTAAGACTCAATGCCGGCATACTAAAAGCATCTGGAGAACAACCGAACGTTGTAATGTCAACACTCGGAAATCAACACCTCTACAAAAATGTGTCCACTGAAAACAACCGAGATGCTCCAGGCATTTGAAATACTGGATATTATAAACTGCTGGAAGTAGCCTGGTGGTTAAAGCGCCTGACAGGTCAAAAACATCAGTTCGATTCCAGACAAGGGTACACGCCCATTTTTGGTGTCTCCAGCTGTGATATAGCTGGAATACTGCCAAAGGTGACTTAATATCTACTCATTCACTAACTATATACGTCGCATATAATGGATTGTTCTACGTCTGTTTGAGCAGTGTTCCGGCTTCCCTACAGTGGTCTGTTAATATACAAGTCTGACCAGACACCAGTGGCGGAAAGTAACTTTCCTTAACGTCAGTGCATAATGGCACACGGTGAGTCAGGTTGAGTTTCACTAAAGCATGTTACAAAGAGTACAATATACTTACAGATGATGTATTTGACACTGCTGCCCTCTCTGAGGATGTGCATTGGACAGAAAGAGCCTGCAAAAATATAGTTTAAGTTTAAAACACAATTTTGGCGCATTTGTTTCTGATGAAATGTGAGTATGGTTTATTTTCACAGTTGACCTGCACAGCTTGCAGACAGTGAATCTGTGAGGGGTGTTTTACAAAATTATAAAACAGTATTTCAGTTGTACCATGGTGTGTCAGTTTGGTTGGGGAGTGCCATGAGAATTAATGTAAGTCTTCACGGCGAATTGTTCGCCTCAGAGGACTGGGTCAATCGTGTCCCACACACAGGTGAAGCACCCTCACACAAGTGAAACACACAGTAGTGAAGCACCCTCACACAAGTGAAACACACAATGATGAAGCACCCTCACACAAGTGAAACACACAATGGTGAAGCACCCTCACACAAGTGAAATATCCAGTGGTGAAACGCCCTTACACAAGTGAAACACACAGTGGTGAAGCACCATCACACAAGTGAAACATGCAGTGGTGAAGCACCCTTACACAAGTGAATCACACAGTGGTGAAGCACCCTTACACTAGTGAAACACACAATGGTGAAGCACCCTCACACAAGTGAAACATGCAGTGGTGAAGCACCCTTACACAAGTGAAACATACAGTGGTGAAGCACCATTACACTAGTGAGACGCACAATGGTGAAGCACCTTACACAAGTGAAACACACAATTGTGAAGCACCCTCACACAATTGAAACATACAGTGGTGAAGCACCCTTACACAAGTGAAACACACAATGGTGAAGCATCCTTACACAAGTGAAACATCCAATTGTGAGTGAGTGAGTATGGTTTTACGCCGCTTTTAGCAATATTCCAGCAATATCATCGCGGAATACACCAGCAATGGGCTTCACACATTGTACCCATGTCGGGAATCGAACCCGTGTCTTCGGCGTGACGAGCGAACGCTTTAACCACTAGGCTACCCGACCGCCCCCATCCAATGGTGAAGCACCCTTACACAAGTGAAACATCCAGTGGTGAAGCACCCTTACACAAGTGAAACATACAGTGTTGAAGCACCCTTACATTAGTGAAACATCCAGTGGTGAAGCACCCTTACACTAGTGAAACATACAGTGTTGAAGCACCCTTACATTAGTGAAACACACACTTGTGAAACACCTTACACAAGTGAAACACACAATGGTGAAGCACCTTACACAAGTGAAACACACAATGGTGAAACAAACTCACACAAGTGAAACATACAGTGGTGAAGCACCCTTACACAAGTGAAACACACAATGGTGAAGCACCCTCACACAAGTGAAACATACAGTGGTGACGTAACCTTACACAAGTGAAACATACAATGGTCAAGCACCCTCACAAAAGTGAAACATCCAGTGGTGAAGCACCCTAAGACAAGTGAAACACACAATGGTAAAGCATCCTTACACAAGTGAAACATCCAGTGGTGAAGCATCCTTACACTAGTGAAACATCCAGTGGTGAAGCAACCTCACACAAGTGAAACATACAGTGGTGAAGCACCCTTACACAAGTGAAACACACAATGGTGAAACACCCTCACACAAGTGAAACACACACTGGTGAAACACCCTTACACAAATGAAACATGCAGTGGTGAAGCACCCTTACACAAATGAAACATACAGTGGTGAGGCACCCTTACACTAGTGAAACACACAATGGTGAAGCACCTTACACAAGTGAAACACACAATGGTGAAGCACGCTCACACAAGTGAAACATACAGTGATGAAACACCCTTACACAAGTGAAACACACAATGGTGAATCATCCTTACACTAGTGAAACATTAAATGGTGAAGCACCCTCACACAAGAGAAACATACAGTGGTGAAGCACCCTTACACAAGTGAAACACACAATGGTGAAACACCCTCACACAAGTGAAACACACAATGGTGAAGCACCCTCACACAAGTGAAACACACAGTGGTGAAGCACCCTCACACAAGTGAAACAAACAGTGGTGAAGCAGCCTCACACAAGTGAAACAAACAGTTGTGAAGCAGCCTCACACAAGTGAAACAAACAGTGGTGAAGCAGCCTCACACAAGTGAAACACACAATGGTGAAGTACCTCACACAAGTGAAACACACAATGGTGAAGCACCCTCACACAAGTGAAACACACAGTGGTGAAGCACCCTCACACAAGTGAAACAAACAGTGGTGAAGCAGCCTCACACAAGTGAAACACACAATGGTGAAGCACCCTAACACAAGTGAAACGTACAGTGGTGAAGCACCCTTACACTAGTGAAACACACACTGGTGAAGCACCCTTACACAAGTGAAACACACAATGGTGAAGCACCCTTACTCAAGTGAAACACACAATGTTTAAGTATCGTTACACTAGTGAAACATCCAGTGGTGAAGCATCCTTACACTAGTGAAACATCCAGTGGTGAAGCACCCTCACACAAGTGAAACACACAATGGCGAAGCAACCTCACACAAGTGAAACACACAATGGTGAAGCACCCTCACAGAAGTGAAACATCTAGTGGTGAAGCACCATTACACAAGTGAAGCACACAATGGTGAAGCACTCTCACACAAGTGAAACACACAGCTTAGTCATGTTGTAGTTTCATAATTTTCATTTTAACCAACACACATAGCTGATATATATCGTGTATGCTCCGTGCAATGCTCATCTGACACAGCCACGTGTAAGTGGAACAGTTTATTATGATACGATCGGGATCTCTTCATCAGCGACTGAGGGATGTTTTACTCCCTTGGTACAACTTGAATTGAACTTAATTAGTTTTACCAATCGTGCTTTTTTCGAAAATTCCATGATCGAAAATGAATTAAATCGACATGAAAGATATAAACGGCATTCTAAAGATAACCGAATCATTCACGGATCCAGAATTGCGTCCTTTGGCCTAAATGTTAAACACGAACAGATCAACAATACAAAATGTGCTTCCTTCTTTTGCACAAGCGACGTTACCAGGTGAAGACTTTGCAGTTTCTTTCGAACGAACAGTCGACGGGTTAGTGTCTTCGATGTCCCAATTCGCAATGTCTGTCACACATACACATTGGCAAGATAAATTAATCTCTGATATATCTGATATCTACAGATTATGGCCGTCTAGGTTTGTGGTTTAAATTATAAAGCATGCAGTAGACAATACGTATATGCCGTGGGTGAATTGACAAGGCAAGATGAATCGTGTTCCTTGAATACATTGTAACCCCTTGGATGAGGACTCGCCGGAGAGGGACTAGCTGATGGTAAGGGGATTGCCTAAAAGTCGGGCCGGGCCGGGCCAAGACGGGCCAAAGTGTTATTGGCTAATTACTTAATTATCGGCGATCATATCTACATATTATTGATGCAACATACACACATGACACTACTGAACAATCACCAATCCAAAACGTGCAGCATAATTAAGTAATTCGGAGTAAATCACTTAAAAACTAGAAAGTGGAGCTGTGTGTTAGCGTCGCTGATCTAGGTAACATGTAAAAGAGGAATCGTTAAACGAAATAGGATTTGACACGTATCAAATACTTCTAGCTATCGTCATACGAATTTCCATCTGTCGGCATAGCGTTTATATTATAGGAACGTACTATATCTAAGTAAATACCACTTTATAACGTCACTGTTCATCGTATTTAAAGCAGACACGTTGGTTAAAGTAGACCTCTTCTCCCTCTACTCTCGACAGTCACACAGTTCGCTCCGACTTGGCCCGGGCTGTCAAAATCAACTTTAAACAGACAGATTTATCTTCAAATGTGATTACCTCTATAGATTAGTGTTATATCTACATATACATCACTTTATAATGTTACAGATCGCAGTATTTATAGACAACAAGGGGCTCAAAGTCAAGCCCTTTTCCCTCTACATTCTCAACATAGTCTCTATCAGAAGTGTTTGGCTTGTGTTGGGTCCGACTTGGCCCGGGCGGTCAAAATCAACTTTAAACACACAGATGTAACTTCAAATGTGATTAAATCTATAGATTAGTGTTATATCTACCTATACACCAATTTATAATGTCCAGGTGTATCGCATTTAAAGAAATCTGCGCCCTTAAAGTGAAGCATTTTTACTGTATTTTCTTTAAAAAATCCAAGTCAGAAATGTTCGGTCCGACCTGGCCCGGGCTGTTAAAATCAACTTAAACCTCACAGATGTATCATCAAGTGGATTCACATCTATAGATTAGTATTATATCTACCTATACACCACTTTATAATGTCACAGATTGCAGTATTTATAGACAACAAGGGGCTCGAAAGTGAAGCCCTTTTCCCTCTACATTCTCAACATAGTCTCTATCAGAAGTGTTTGGCTTGTGTTGGGTCCGACTTGGCCCGGGCGGTCAAAATCAACTTTAAACACACAGATGTAACTTCAAATGTGATTAAATCTATAGATTAGTGTTATATCTACCTATACACCAATTTATAATGTCCAGGTGTATCGCATTTAAAGAAATCTGCGCCCTTAAAGTGAAGCATTTTTACTGTATTTTCTTTAAAAAATCCAATTCAGAAATGTTCGGTCCGACCTGGCCCGGGCTGTTAAAATCAACTTAAACCTCACAGATGTATCATCAAATGGATTCACATCTATAGATTAGTATTATATCTACCTATACACCACTTTATAATGTCACAGATTGCAGTATTTATAGACAACAAGGGGCTCGAAAGTGAAGCCCTTTTCCCTCTACATTCTCAACATAGTCTCTATCAGAAGTGTTTGGCTTGTGTTGGGTCCGACCTGGCCCGGGCGGTCAAAATCAACTTTAAACACACAGATGTATCTTCAAATGTGATTAAATCTATAGATTAGTGTTATATCTACCTATACACCAATTTATAATGTCACAGATCGCAGTATTTATAGAAGACATGGGGCTTAAAGTGAAGCCCTTTTCCCCTCTACATTCTCAACATAGTCTCTATCAGAAGTGTTTGGCTTGTGTTGGGTCCGACTTGGCCCGGGCGGTCAAAATCAACTTTAAACACACAGATGTATCTTTAAATGTGACTTAATCTATAGATTAGTGTTATATCTACCTATACACCAATTTATAATGTCCAGGTGTATCGCATTTAAAGAAATCTGCGCCCTTATAGTGAAGCATTTTTACTGTATTTTCTTTAAAATAATCCAAGTCAGAAATGTTCGGTCCGACCTGGCCCGGGCTGTTAAAATCAACTTAAACCTCACAGATGTATGATCAAATGGATTCACATCTATAGATTAGTATTATATCTACCTATACACCACTTTATAATGTCACAGA